AAATAAATGTGTTGAGTTTAGACACCAGTTTTTTAAGACTTCTAAAAATGTGAGACATAGCAACTTTAAGGATTTGTACCAAAAAAATTTAATAAATCAAAAGCACTCAGAGTTTTTGAGTGTTTTACAGAGTTATTTACAGAGAAACTCATCATTTACATCCAAGAAACAAAGTTCAGTTGAAGATCAGTGAAGGAGTAGAGAGTCACCATCATCTCTTTTGGTCTTTTAGGTACAAGCTGTTGTGCCAGGAGGAGGGGGAGTACTACAACGTTCCCATCTCAGTGGAAGATGATGGAAACGAGGAACTGAGAAAGAAGTTTGAAGTGAGGGTTTCACAAAATTACTAGTTATTATCTGTCTGGTGTCTTGAGTTAATGTGTTGTCATCAGTGTATAACACAAATGTTTGTCTCAATGTTTTTTTTTTTGTTCCTTTACTTTTGAGTCATTAGAAATATTTTTCTTTTAATTCATGAGTGGATCTTGATGTAGCTTTTGTGTTACCAGATTTTCAGTCTTTAAATCAAATTATGATTATAAATTAGTTTTATAATTATGGCCGTTGAAAAGATTTTGAAAAGACATCATACAAAGTGTTAATCTGAAGCGAGCTTATCTTTATTTAGAGCAAATTTTGTTTTTAAACACCTTCATGGTTGATCCAGTTGCCCCGAGCTGAAAAAGCATGTCCAACACAATTATCAGCTTGTCACCTGCTCTCCTGAGCAGCACAGCTGCTGAGTTAATAACCATGTGACAGCTGCAGCTTCCAAGCTCTATGTGCCGCTTGTTGTCTTGTTGCACCCTGAGAAATTGTTTCGGCTGTGATCGTTTCACACAGCAGCAACAAATTCACATTATTTTCCAAGCTTGGTTGGGATGGATTCCAGCTTGGAGAGCAGCAGCATATCCCTTTCCAACCAGAAGCTGTTTGTTTAATCCACAAAGACACCTGATGTATTTCCAGTTAGATAACAGCTGACGAGCTGGACCCACTGTTTTTCAACACAGTGATCACAGTTTAAATGACTGAGTAAGCTCATTATACGAAATAGGGCTTTTTGGAACAATAATGCAGTCTGAGATCTAAAATAAATCACATCACAGTTTGCAATGTTTTAGGCTGATGAATTGTTAGCTTTTTTAATTTTTTCCCCCAGTATTTTCTTGTAAATATCATTAATATGTAGCTTTAGCAAATTACTAATGGACTAAAGTTTTGTAGCTTACCCATTAACTATTAGAAAATGTATATGTGAGTGTGTAATGGTACATGTAATTATATTGTGACAGTTAGAGTTATGGATGGATGCATCAGTCACAGATGATCGCCGCTCTCAGAGTGGGTACACATATGAATTTTCTGCATTTTGCAAAAACCCACGACAGAAAATTGTTATTTTTGTGAAAACTTTACCAGATGACAAATCCTACTTTACTGTATCTAACCTGCTACCTTAAACCCTCCTTCCTAACAAAGGCTTCTTTTCTCTGTCTCTGCTTCTCTGCCTCTGTGAGACTTATTGTTTGTATTAACAAATAAACTTTATTGTACTGCAGGGCTATTCGACTGTCGGGCCACATCCAGCCTGTGGGTGTCCTCTCTCTGGCCTGCTAATGAGCCCCACCCTGCGCCCTAAATAAAATAAATATATAAATTTGGAAAAAATGTAAAAAGCATCTTTATTTATTTATTTGTATTAATTTTATAAATCATTTTTAAATCAATTATAAATTGATTCAATGAAATAAAATTGTTTAACATTTAGGTATAATATTGTTCTGTTAAATATTGCAATGTTTCACCTACCATTATTGGGCAACCCACAGCCCCTCTGGCCCCTGAGCTGTTGACTTTGAGTAACTGTGCCCCCCTGAGTAATTTAGTTGAATAGCCCTTCTGTACTGTAACTCATTCTTATTAAAGCTGCACCATAAATGCTTTGAATATTACATCAGTTGTTAACAATCTAGTCGGAGGCCTCACTAAAACAAGGCCAGTATTGTTTGAGTGAGCTTTTGGTGCATTAATTAGGTTTACAATAAGCTGGTTTTAGGACATACAGAAAACTTCATTCCCTCACTTGGGTCTGAAAAAAAAAATCTGGTAACGCTTTCTTTTATGGTATGCTTATTACCATGTAATTACAAGGTATTAAAATGTTAATTAAATGTAATTACTACCTTATTACCATGTAATTACGTAGTAATTATGGTACAAAAGAAAAACTACTGTTAGTAAAACCACATTTATTGGGTAACTACAATGAAATTACTATTCAGTAGTAACTCAACACTATACAGTATTTATAACCAAAAGAATGCAACTAAACTTTGGGGTTAGTGGTTAATTGCAATAAAATATAACTTTAAAACTGTCCAAATTGCCTACTACTTATTTAGGTGTTACATAGTGAATTGTAATACATTACCAGGTAAGTGCTACATTACTGCAGACAATTAATTACATAGTAAAATTGTACCCTAATTACCACGTAATTATATGGTAGTAAGGTAGTAATTACCATTTAATTACATTTTTGTCACCTTGTAATTACATGGTAATAAGGGTACCTTAAAAGAAAGTGTTACCAACCAACCTGGGTATTAAATAAATGAGAAATATTTATAATCTACAATAACATCTGGTATGTAATTTGAAATAAAAACAAAAGTAAAAAAATATAAATGTTGTATGAACATGTTAGTATTTAGTGCTCAGTTCTGTAG